CTGCCAAAAATTTAATGATATAAACAACATAACAAATAGCTCCTTCTCTTCCTGCTCAGGTTGCACACTGGAGTCTTTCTGATACTCTTCACTACTAGGCACTGAAAGTTTTCTAAGAGGTATAGAAAGTACATGGAACCAGTCAGCCGAGATCTTGGCCAATGTACTGTTGTTGACATCTTATCCACCATTTAACCAATGTTTGTAGGTGATATAGTGATGGGGATGACAATATGACCTTCTCTCAGCTTACTCTGGATCACAGATAAATCTTTCAGGCATAGTTTTACAAAGCTGTTAAAAAAGATTCTTCTCCTCGTCCCCCCCTGCACAGTTGAAAGATACACAGTTTCCAAGGAAAGATACACAGTTTCTGAAGACCTTAGTAGGCCCAACACTATAACTTGTAATCATTTATATCATCTTCTAAAAGCTTAATTCTACTAGCATTTATACAGCTTCCAGTGTTAAACTACTTTGCATGCATTATTTTGTTATAATCTTACAACAATACTATTGGTTTGTAATCTTCATTTTTACAGACGAAGGTCTGAAGGAGAGTGACTTGTCTACGCCAACCCAGTGAGGCGCCTCCCAAATCACACCTCATTCTCTTTGCCACTGTGATACAGGATCTCAAAAACAAATCCTTGTTTTCCCTGGAACTTTCCACAAGAGTTTCGTCCACCCACGACATGAAGAACTAAAACCTATACAGTACAAACATGCATTGAACAACTCAGTGTAGAGTGTGTTGTGTATTAAAGTCTACTGAAAACTGAAGGATTCTGTATAAGGAAGTAAGGTAAAGGTAAAGGTTCCCTTGCTTGAAAGCCAGTCGAATCCGACTCTAGGGTTGCGGTGCTCATCTCCGTTTCCAAGCTGAAGAGCCAGCGCTGTCTGAAGACGTTTCCATGGTCATGTGGCCAGCATGACTAAACACCAAGGCACACGGAACACTGTTACCTTCCCACCGAAGCGGTACCTATTTATCTACTTGCAATTTCTTGCTTTCGAACTGCTAGGTTGGCAGGAGCTGGAACTAGAGACGGGAGCTCACTCCGTCATGTGGCAACTCGGGTCTTGAACTGCTGAACTACTGACCTTCCACAGCCTGCAGTTCAGCGTCTTAACCACTTGAGCCACCAAGTAGTTCATAGTAAATCTGAACAATGATCAGCACAATCAGTCCTGTCACTGGCTCTCTGGGTGTCAAGGGGAAGGTTCATTCCCCAGACCTGCTTCCTGTTATTTTTGTAACTGGAGATGTCAGGGATTGAAGCTAAATCTGGGATTCCTGTATCCAATGTTATTTGTTGTGCCACTGACTTATGGCTTGTCCTGCATGCCTCTGCATGCCCCCCCACACTTATTTTGTAAAGAAAGTTAGAAAAATTAATCAAAAGTTATTTTTCCCATGTCATATTAATAAAAAACTGGAGTTTTTGCACAGCTTTTGCACCATTTTAAAGAATTGTTTTGAAAGCTTTAAAACCAACTAGAAGCTCTGAAAAGTTTCATTGTTCCAAATGACATGAAAATGCCGCACCATTCTGTTCATCAAAAGGACTAACAAAATCACCATAATCATTGTACACTGGCATGCTTTTAAAACTGCATTCCTTACATCACTGACATTGGCACCTTTCCCAGAGATAAATCTACCATTCATCTTTGGCACAAGCTAATTGATTTAGTGTATAAAAATTAGCATTGCTGATTGTCTAGTATGAGACTATTTTTTAAAAAAATAGAAAGCAGTGGGGAAATTCCCAATACAAAATACTTGGTCTTTTGTTTTATATGCTGTTATTATAATTACTAGGCTAGTCAGTATATTAACACCTTTAGCACAAGATTGACTTTCAAACTATGTTGTCTTGATAACGCTTGCTTGCCACCCATGTTAGCCACTAAATCCATGAGTACCTGAGATACCAAGAAATTTATTATACACACAGGTTGGACAGCATAAAACACATATGCAGATATTCTATTAAGTACTCATCAGGAAGAACTTCCAGAGATTACCAAAGCAATCAGTGCTTTAAAATAAGTCCTGTCCTAGCCTATCTACTCACTTTATAACTTCTTCATCCAAGAGTGGCCCCTTTCTGCTCTCACCTGTAGTGCCAAAGATCCTATGTGTTTCAGAATCCAATCCCAGAATGCTAGTATACCTACAAATGAGCTCAATGATGTGGTTGATTCATGGCTGATATTGGGTTGCACTGAGTGCTGTGGCCAATGCTTTCAAGACTTAATCATTTTTTATCTTTCCCTCTTATATGTTCCCGGATCAAAACCAAGAACAGCTGCAGGAACAATGGAGCACAGGCATGTTGCAAAGTAATCCTTCCACGAATTTCCAGGATACCAATACCAGAAATGTAGCATTCTATATTGTAAGACAACTGAAGCAATTTACGTATCCCTCAGACATCCTATTTGAATCCTTTCATTAAAATTGAGTATCTGATAAGAAATGACCAAGAGGCCAAGAAAAGCAAGGTGAACACTGGGTTTGCCAGGAGATGAATCACATTAGGAGTGACATCAGAACACTCCATTCTGGTGTTTTAGAAATGGTCTTTCTACACACCTGCCAAAGCTCTGCCACAATTCAACAATTCAACAAACAAAAAGAAATGTAAGCAAAATTATTTCCCAATGGTTCAAGCCTCTGGGACTAATATACCTTTGACCGTGGTATGAATACTACCAAAAATCACATTATCACTATCATTAAAATATTCAATCAACAAGTTTCCTACAGATGGGGGAGATCGGCTTTGTGTAGAAATAGTGCCATATAAATTACTTTGTATACAGGCATATAAAATGCAAACAATATTATTAATATTTACATATTATGAAGGTGATGACATAATCTGAAGATTCCAAATCAAAAATTCTTATATGTCCAGGCCAATGTGAAGTGACCATGGAAATGTTGAACTTCTCTGCACAATGAATTTACTATTACCCGATCTTTTTACACTAACTTTCAATGGATAGTGTGTTTCCTTTGTTATTTATTCTCATGACAGCTCTGTGTGGTACATTAGATGGAGTGTTTCTTGGCCATGGCCACCCATTTAAAGATTTAATCAGGGATTTGATTCTGGGTCTCCCGTGTAGAAAATCAATGCTACCCAGCATTGCAGTCAAACTGAGTTGAAGCTGAGCTAACCAATAGGCTGATCAACGTCATCAACACTAAGAACACTTGAGAAGTCAAAGACTTAAATTGTGGAGCTGAAAAGGGCAGAAAGGGCATCTATTTCTATGTCTTGCCCAAATGCTGCGATTTTTCACATATCATCCTATACAATCCAAACCACAGAATGGTGGTTGTGGGCTGCTGCAGAGCAAATGGTTCCCGGTGATTCCCTTGCACTGCCTGCCATTTCCTGTATGCTTTATGTAGCACAAAGTTAATTGATTCAGGTGAACTGATGTACCACTTAGTTCTTGTTTCTTTGGGTCCATATTTCTGTTTTACACGATGTACCACTTAGTTCTTGTTTCTTTGGGTCTTTATTTCTGTGTTTTACATTCTTAGCATAACTGTACAACTGTTTGCAGCACATGCAATTGTACACAGCTGGGCATTTCTGCATATCTGTTTTATAGACTTTATCAAATTCGGGCCAGTGCTAGGGTGTCACTGGGTGATGCTGAACAAATCACAATCTCTCAGCTTCAAAACAGGCCAGTGTAAGAGTGACAATAGTAAAGCACTGTATATTAAAAATGCCACATGCATGATGTACTAATAGAAAAAGAAAGGATCACTTATGGGTGGCAAGACTTTACCGTGAGAGATGTCAGACAAACAATACTCCTCTCTGATGGTTTAGCAAATAGGAAAGCCATACACCTCATCCCACTCCAAAGCCCAAGGGCTGTCTTTTTGGAAAGGGTACTCTGTTAGCCTCTTGCCTTGAAAACCCTATGGGTAGCCATAAGTAGGTTGTGACTTGATGGCACTTTACACACACACAGAGTCTACTGCAGTGTAAACTGCATTTCCTTAACAATGGCTGGCAATTAGAAGAACAGATTTTAACTACAAAGACAGAGCGAACGCTGCAACCCTATGCCATGCAACGTTGAGGTATGCTAAACTGAAGAGAAGATCTTTGTATCAAAGGACCCCTGACTCTCAGCAAAAGCAAACAACTTTTCCGCACATCTTTCAAGTCTGCCTCTCAAGGTTTTGCATGGTACAAACACACACTGCAGAAAGCGACAAGATCAATTCTTTCATAGAAGGCACTGCAACTGCCTGTCTTTGAAGTTTCCTAGACAATGGCTCAAATCTTAAACACCAGGCTACTCAGATCTCATCACCTTCACCAGCTACTTTGATTATGAGTGGGGGGGCACTATCTGTTCACAATTTAATATATATATCCCCCCTCAATATAAGCATGATGCAAGCAGAATAAAAGTCACACTTACCTCTTTAAGTGTGTGTGTGGGGGGGCTATGTCACTATTATAGAACTTTAGACCATGCAACACCCATTTGAAATAATAATGCAGCGCATTAAATTTACAACAATAAATTTCTGATGAACAATGCTATTTTCAGAGGTGTCTAGCCTCTCAATTAGTGCTATTCGCTGTGTTTCTGTAATAAACTGTGTCATAAGACAGCTGCATAGATATGCACTGCATACAGACAAGAAGGTTCAGGGCCCGTTTCTACTTGAGTGTTTGCTTGCCATAAATATTACTCATCTTATATGTACGCATTCATGCCTGAAATGACAATAAACATCTTTTGTGCACAAGAGAAATCAGTTCCTCGACCGGTTATGATTACCTTATTCTCACAAAGTGTACTGCAAAGAAGAAAGAAATCAATATTACATAGAATGATGGATCAAGCATGAATCAATGTGGCAAGCACATAACCAAACGGACATGGCGGTAAACAAGGAAAATAAAATAATAAAAGAAATAAAACCACAACAGAGATTATCGCTTAACCTGTTTTGTCAGAGCTGGTATTGATGGTATTGGTAGTGATGGAAGTGAAGGTAGTCTTTGCGGTGTCCTTGGTAGTTACAGATTTCTGCTTATTTTTCATGGCTTCCAGTGCTTTGAGCTTCTTGGCATGTTTAGTGCCTTTGTAGTGGGCCGCAGCCTGGCTCTACAAAGGAGAACAAAATGAACCATGCAATCAGGCTCATTTCTAAACTGGCATTCTCTGTATTAGTACAAATACAGACCACCTTTCAATAACGGGTACCATGTGCCATACCAAGGCAGTGACCAAACTGCAAAATTGTTTTAGGAATTATACTTTGGACACTGAAAAAAAACACCTCTATCCCTACGCCGCCAATATTATCAATATTGTTAGGGCTTTTTTACTTTTTCATCTAACAAATATATTCCCTTTAGTAATTTTGGCAATTAAGGATTTTGCTCCTCTGGAGAAGAAACACTGATAAATTTTGTTTGAAGTCCTTACATGAATAAGGCAGAATTTAATTTTAACGTAAGGCTCAGAAATGTTTCAAGAAGATGCCAATAAATAAGAGGTAAATTGTGTCTCTTAGTAAAACATAACCACTACCAAAGGCCATTTGATACAATTCAACAGTTACAGCCATTATTTTGAAGTTAAATTATAAACTTTCTGAGGTCTTTTGGTGGAGTTTGGGTGAAACCAGGATAATTTGTATGTCTAGACCTTATCAGCATGTCAATACTAGAATGAAGTCAATGCACCCAACCACTTCAGATACAGAGAATGAAAAGAATAAGGTTATCACATGTGGAATTATTTTCCTCACAGATAGCTAATGCTTCAATACTGTACAAAAAGTCTAGATTCCCGAAGAGCTAATACTGTGGAACTTTCAAATTTCATGCTTGTCAACTGACTAAAGCTCTTGATTAATTATCCAAATAGTCCCTCTAATTTAAGCTATTCTTCAGAACATTTGGAAAGCCTATAATGAAAGAAAATAGTAGTATTTGAACATGTAAAGGCTAGTTTCTGCCATTCTCTCACTCTATAGGATGGTCTAAACCAGTGGTTCTCAACCTTCGTAATGCCACAACCCTTTAATACAGTTCCTCTGGTTGTGGTGACCCCCAACCATAAAATTATTTTCGTTGCTATCATAAGACCATCGAAAATGTGTGTATTCTGATGGTCTTAGGCGACCCCTGTGAAAGGGTCGTTCGACCCAGAAAAGGGTTGCGACCCACAGGTTGAGAACCGCTGGTCTAAACAGATGAAGGGTTGCAACTATGGCAGCAGCTGTGATTCTCAATGCCTGGAATCACTAGCTTCAGGGAGCAAATTTAGGCTGCAGTCACATAATCCGCTTTCAATCCACTTTCAGTGCACTTTCCAAATGGATTTTACTGTGTGAACTGGCAAAATCCAGTTGGAAAGGGCACTGAAAGTGGATTATTTAGTTTGTGTGTCTGCAACCTTAGTTTGCATCTCAAAGGATGCAATATCTATTTACTTTGTCTACAAGAAGGAATGAATGGCTGCCATTCATGCCCCAAAGGAAAATGCAATACCGGGGACACTGTTGTGGTGAGATCAAAACGTGCTTCCTATGGGGTCAAGCCATCGCTGGGAGGCTTCCCATGGGATATGTGTGCATATGCAAAGTATGCCTATGTACCTCTTTGCAGTATAAGTCCCAGTATTTTGCTGATTTGAAGCATAAAATTCATATTTTATCAAACCAATATAAAGGCTCCATGGCTCACAATGAGTTCCACATGTAATAAGTTGACCTTTTTCCCATGGATACAGCTGACTCTCTGTGTGTAGAGGCAGCATCATTACATTTGTAGAGAATTTCTGAAATTAAACAGGAAAGAGCAACCCTATCACAGAGACTTTTGGACATTAATACTTTCATTAATTTTGGGACCATGGCATGATCATTGCTCCTATTGCTGCAAAACAGGGTTTTTTTCTGTTTATCAGCAGGTTTCATACAATATTTAGTCAATTTGCAAGTTGCAAACTGAGAAGGATCTTTCTGCACTCAACCAATTGTTAAAGTAGTAGCTAAAGGACAAAAGGTGTGTGTGTAATCATTTCTATTTAAAACATCCCCCCAACCTGTATTTCTTTAGAATTGGGGGGGGGGGAGAGATCTACTAGTATTAATAGTCAAAAGTATAATTTTTCTTTCTGAAAATCTTAGGTATTGTGGTCGGTACCCTTATTGAAAGAACACTGGACAGTGAAGATATTAATCAGAAACAACTTGAACAGAAATAGCACAATCATGCATCTTTACAATTTTTCAAACAACACGTAACATTAAGAGACATACTATAAGCCAAATGTGAACAGTTAAAGAGGTGTTAATTACTATTAAATTGAAAGAACAGTGTTCGGTTAGGATGACGATAAAATGGCAGCATCTTGTACACATTTGTGTCATCATTGCCAAGTGTTTGTTTCTGTGGTCCAACATTTTTTAGAAGTTCCCATTTACTAAAATAACATTTGAATACTGTAAGTAAAAACATTTTTTTTCTACAAAAATATAGGTTTCATCATTCTGTTGCCTATGTAAATTATGTCAGTCTAATCTCTCAAGTTCCTCATGGATATCTTCTCAGGCCTGGGGTCCCCAACCTTTTTTTAACCTGTGAGCACCTTTGGAATTCTGACACAGGGTGGTGGGGGCAATCACAAAATGGCTGCCATGGGATTTGGAGCCAACTACAAAATGCCAGGGAGGGGGGTTATGCATAACTCTAATAGCAATTTTTTTATATTTCAGGCAAGACCTCCTCTTAACAGGATGCCTTTAGAAATATTTTCTTGCATATACACAGCTTATCATCAGTCACACAATGAAGATCCTTGTGCTGTGGTGGCAACTACTCGTGAGGCAACTTAAAAAAAAATCTGCACAGCCAATCAGATCTTCAGTGGCCAATCAGAAGCCTTGCTTTCTAAAAACACTTGATAGGTACCAACAAAATTGGTGAGTGCCATGGCGCCCATGTTGGGGACCCCTATTTTAGAAAAAAACATAGCATTTTTATTCAGATGAAGAAACACATACCTCCTTCACTGGGAGGTGCACACAAATAGCAATATAAAGAAAAATTACAAGTCCCTCCATGAGAATTTATAATACCTTCCTCTTCTAATCTTTAATGACTAGACAAAAGGGTTGCTACAGTAAACTGCAAACGTTCCATAGAATACTGACACTGCTCATAAGGCTTTTACAATGAGATTTTTTTAACAAAAATTTAGAACGTAAGTCTTCATTTTCTATTGGGATATGAAGTCATTTAAGGTGATATCAATATAACAAAGGTTGGCAGTTTAATGGTACTTCTAGGAGGGAAAGACCGATTGTTCGCCAACAGTTTAACCACTTCTAAATTAGTCTATACTAGGGATCCCTTCCTGAGCCTTTACAGCTGAACCTGAAAATTCCAAAAATCTGTCATTATCTTTTCCAATAAAGGAAATTACTCAGAGATGGAGAGAACAGTGGAAATATATTTCTAAACATTTTTATACACATATAATATACAGCACTAGTACTTTGCTAAATAATTTCTTTATAGAGTTAGAGTTACCAAAAAAAGTACATTCACCATATAATGGCAACCCCATGAAGCATAAGGCCTGAAATTAGACAGACTGAAAAATGTAATTATGCCAGAATAGCATGCAGAAAAGGGGGGGAAAGAGCCACAACCTGAACCTAAGAGGAAACTATGATGCAGAACTGTGAAAAGAGACTGAATAATTGATTGCATCATTTTATGTGGGATAGGAAGGAATCATACATACTGTGACTTTCCTCAAGATATTAGAAGTAGAAAAATGAAAAAACCCTCAAATCCTAGAAAACAGAATTTAAAATCTGCTGGAGATTTGGGGGCTATGCGAGAGTCTTCTGTTGAGTAAAAAAAGTAATAGTATTTGCTTCTATTGGCTAATATGTATGAGATCTTTTACCAATGTGCATCTGGAATGCTTTCTTAAATTTACATATGTCTGCTATTTATAACAAGGAGGTGGGGGGGAGCAACATATATGATTTATTTGCAATGTGCTTTCTGCTTTCCTGTTACTACACACTGGAGCACCTATGCACTATCATGGCTCAAAAATAACAACAAATATCTCTACAAGATTAATCAGCCTTTTCCTTCATTGCTGCATTCTGCAGATTTGACAGAAATCACTGATACTCTGCTAGTAATAAGCAAAAGGCTCACTTTGGATAAACGAGTCAAATTCAGGATTTGTTCTCTTTACCGTTAGAACAATTTCTTCCCCTTTCAACCCAACAACCCCCCCCAAAAAAACCCTACCCAAAACAAAACTGTCTGCTGGCTCATCACAGGTAAAACCAGATTGTTAGTGTACATGAGACAGAGATTAGATATACTTTTCAAAATCATGCACAAGAAGGCAAGGCGATTTTTCACTCATGTAACATCTTGTTTTAACTGGGGTGCTACCTATGCAAACTAGTTATTAGTTAACTACCATGCAAGTCCATCAAGGCTTTTTGGGTATTAACTAAGCACTTGTAGCTTACTTGTACAGGTAGCAACCCAGTATAAATAAAATGTGCACATCAGCAAAGTCCCCGGAAGGGTAAATGCTCTTGCCTTACCAGCTACACATTAAAACCCCACCTATATGTAGTCTGTATTAGGATTTTCTTCTCCCAGCCTATTAGTAGCATAACCAGGCAAGTGGACATCTTTCTTTGTCTCTTCCAGGTGTTTTCAGGTTGAATAAAGCTTTTTTGTTGGGTTGGAAGGGGAAGAAATTTTTTTAACGGTGCTCAGTGATGAGAACAAATCCTGAATTTGGCTGGTTTATCCAAAGTGAGCCTTCTGCATGTTCAGGCATCTGTGAGCTGTGAGTTCAGGCATCTCCTCCATAAATGCTGGCATATCATGGGACACCTATCTGCTGCAGGAGACGCAGACATTGACAGGTGTGCCAGTGCACCACCTCATCAGTGATGTGAGTACTTACTGGAGCGCCACCTGTGCCATGCTCGACTGCTTGGTGGAGCAGAAGAGAGTCCTGACAGACATGATCTCTGAGACTGGGGTCATTCGGGAACAGAGCCGGCTCTCCCACAAAGAATGGTTGACCATCTCTCAGACTGT